ATCGTTTGTACAGCCCCAGTTTCTTGTGTAATGAACCCAGTCTCGTCATCCAATCCTGTCGCAGATAACAATGTCGCGCAATGCCATGAGCTAATCAATCCAATAATTCCATCAGTTCAAATTCATTGAAGTGCAGGTTTCCTCAGTACCACGTGTATGTCTTAAGTCCATAGTACCCAGAAAAGAGAAGTGGGAAGAATAGACAGTTGGAAGGAGAAATATAAGTCCCTCTTCTCCTGCTGCAAGGAACCCGACTGTTCAACACCTGCTGGAGCGCTTCAGATCGCATGCATTTACACAGATTTCACAGATTGCGATGTCTCACACAAAGCCCAATAGAAGATGAATGAGAACCAGGAAGCTCAACTCAAACCAGATTAAAGAGGGAACATCGTGAGTCCAAAATATTCAGCGCCGAATAGAGTTACAAGTCTTCTTCAATCAACATGAGTTCCAGGCCTGGCGCTCGTCAGCGCCAGCTGCCGAATGTCAACAATAGCGCTCAACAGCGTAAGTGTCACCATAGCTCACACTTCCCCTTTTCTCGTCTGCTTTCTTCTCTCTCCCGCTTGGTCTACTCTCACTCATCATGCATGCACACTTCCTATCACACGAGGATCTACTTTGAATACTACTCACTGGTGTCTCCTACTAACTATCTCTACTAGTATACTAACTAGCACTGGCGCAGCTATGGCTGCCTTCCCTCCGGCCAGCGCCTCACTTCTCTTCCTCTCACATAGCACTGCTCTTCAGCCTAGCGCAGCTCACACATGTCTAGCGCACAAGTGCCACGACACTTCCACACTCGCATGCGGAGTAAGCATCTGTCCAAATGGGAGGCTGGCCAGTCCTTTATAGTGTTGGACTGGCCTGGCGTGCCCTGCATTCAGCCTCAAGTGTCTGGGACTCCTGCCCAGTACCCGTTGTTGCAAAGTGTATGTCCCAGTATCCTTTCCCATGGTCTGCTGCTGCTTTGGGCCATCTGGCCTGTCTCTTGGACTCCTGGTCTGAATCAGGACTGACTCGTGGGATTATGACTGGACTGGGACTGTGGCCTCTGACTTATTGCCGAATAGACATGACTTTCCATCGAGGAGACATGACCCTAACTCGATCTTGAAAACTATGTCCAATACCTGTTCGTGCAAGACCTGTTTGTGACTGTTCAAGACGACTTTTCACTTCATTATGGATGCGACATTTACCTCAGGAACTTTGTCTTTTGGGTTGCTGCTCGTGGATTTAAGTTCTGGCCGACAGGGCCCCTTGCTGTTGGGCATACATTTGGGGTCTAATTCGTAAAGACCTTTTTACTCTCGCCGGCCCAATTTCGAAGCCCTCTGAGAAAGTTTTTATCTGTCCACAATGTTGATACCTCTTCTTGCTCTTTCATAGTACGATACTATGCTCGGTGCAGTTTCAATCAGCTCTTCCCTAGTAAACCAGCGGTCTTCGCTTGGATCTTGATATGCAAATTTGACTTTATATTGCCGTTGAGGTCTACCTTTGCGTCCAGTCTGGATAGTACTTTCAACAACGATCTTATCAACATCAAATTTCCCATCCATACTTGGAGGAATTGCTGACCTTCGACTGGGAAACGGTTCGTTAGTTACACAAGGTAAGAGCTTTGACGAGTGGAACACCGGGTAGGTATGCAAATGTGGAAATATCTCAATAATATAGGAGGGTCCATCTACATCCCCTATCACATTCAATACTTGCCACGGTCCTCTGTTGGCAGATAACAATTTCTGAGATATGTTTTCCTCTGGGATAAATTCCTTCGATTTTACCCAAACCAGATCACCTACATCGAACTGAGAAGGTCTCCTGTGCTTATTGGCCTGTTCAATCATTTGATGTTGCACTTTAATTATGTTCTCCTTTACCCTTTCTAAATCTTTTTGATACTGCATTGCGAACTCTCTGGTCCCTGGCGGAAGTTTATGTGCTCTATCCGGGTTTAGACAGTCTATAGGTATGCGAGGACTCCATCCCAAATATAACTCCATCGGAGTTCTGCAAGTAGACAAGTGTACAAAGTTATTATAGGCACTAACAACTTTGGGCAGATGTTCATCCCAATTAATCTGATAAGGATGAATGTACATACGCAATGCCTGCTGCAAAATCTTGTTCATTTGTTCAGTTTGCCCGTTTGTCTCAGGATGTCGGCCTGACGACATCGTCAGTTTAGAGCCATAGACATTCATTAGTTGCTGCCATTGCTCACTGGTGAACCGAGAGTCTTTGTCACTAATGATAGTTAAGGGATGGCCGTAGTCCTTTACCCAGTGGTTAAAGAATTCTCAAATTACTAAGTCAGTTTTAGCTTCCGTGGGCAATGCTACAAAAACAACAAACTTGCTGAATCTATCAACGATTACCATAACTTGGCTTTTTCCATTCCTGCTTTTCACTTTAGTATCCATGAAATCTATGGACACAGAGTCTCCAAGACCCGTTGGGATAGGCAAAGGCTTCAATAGACCAAGGGGAGGCTGTGTGGTGCTTTTGTTTCACTGGCACACTTGACAGCCTTGCACATATGCAATGCAACGAGATTTCATCGAGGCCAGGTATAAGAACGCAAGAGATTAGCGTAGGTTTTCCTCTTCCCGAAATGGCCTTCGGTATCATGGCATTCCCTTGAGATCATACTTTTGATCTCTTCCTTGTTTGGAATACAAAGCCCATCATGCACATCAGTTCTTTCAAACAACAACCCTTGGGTTACCCAATAGTCAGGAAACTCTTGTGGCGCTTCTTGAACACATTTTAGCATAGCGCCATAAACAGGATCAGTGGAATAAGCATTCTTGATCTTGTCTTGTATATCGGTGCCTATGTCTAAATACGTTACAATAGCACCGAAGAAGTCAGATCTTCGACTCAATGCATCGACAACAACGTTATACTTACCCTTTACTGGCTTTAGTTCAAAGTCATACTGATTGATTTTCACAGCCCACCTAGTCAGTTTAGGTGTCATCCGGGCCTGCGTTTTTAGCCAGCGAAGTGTCTCATGATCTGAGTACACTTTGAAGTGGCGACCTAGGAGATCATGACGCCAATGATCCAAAGCTTCCCGGAGTGCATATAGCTCTCTTTCATATGTGGAAGCGACGACTTTCTCACCTGTGTATCTTTTAATCAGAGAACGGGCGGAATTCAACGCCCGAACTTACGTTTAACGGGCCCCTGGACTCCCGTTGAATCGCGTTTAACGCAAAAATGGGAGCGTCGCGTCCAATTCCGAAAAACAGAATTCGCGCGTTGGGCCTCGGACATGTGTACCTACGTGCCCGAACACTCAAACAGGAAAAATAAAAATAAAAATATAACCCCCCCC